GTTCTGGCCTACTGGGTTTTGGTGGGAGACGCCTTTAAGGCACTAGAGTTGATTGTGAATGCCAGAAAAGTTTATACAATCCACTCTGTTCCAGCAAGGGGAAGTAATAACAACCCCCATCTTGCTGGATCAGAATCCCTTGGGAGCATGTCCCCCTAACATGCTCCAAGGATTCTCTGAAGCAGGACAAGGAATAAAAACAAGACATCTTCTATTTCTGGAAATGTCACGGAAGTTCATAATTATCTGGTTCAGTATAGAAATTTGTTCATCTTATGTAATGCTTGGAGAGTTATCCTCAGGCACCCTTATCCTCATAAGCTCTTCTCTTGCTGGAATGTCAAATTAAAACATGTGTGTTTCAAGCTGACCAGGCAACTTTGTAAGCAAACAGCCCTTATAGCAGGGTAGGGTTATAATGCCAGTGTATTTCATATCTGGCAACTAATGTGCCCCTTAGGTTTCAGGTTGTACATGGGTAAAAAAAGGTAAAGGTAAAGGACCCCTGACAGTTAAGTCCAGTTGCAGACTACTCTGGGGTTGCGTGCTCATCTTGCAAACACCTCAAAGGAAGGAGCCGATGTTTATCCGCAGACAGTTTTTCCGGGTCATGTGGCCAGCATGACTAAGCCACTTCTGGCGAAACCAGAGCAGCACATGGAAACGCCGTTTACCTTCCCGCTGGAGTGGTACCTATTTATCTACTTGCACGTTGACATGCTTTCGAACTGCTAGGTTGGCAGGAGCTGGGACCGAGCAACGGGAGCTCACCCCATCGCGGGGATTCTGACTGCAAGCCCTAGGCTCAGTGGTGTAGACCACAGTGCCACCCGTGTCCCAGTACATGGGTTGTTTGTTGTCATTTAGTCGTTTAATCGTGTCCGACTCTTCGTGACCTCATGGACCAGAGCACAAGTCTAAAAAGCTCGGGACACAAATTTTCATGGCCCTCTAGCAGCTATGGTGGCTCATTTACCAGAAGTAATGTATTTAGCGTTAACTCAGGGAGTGTGTACTCAGTTCTGACCAAACTAAGACTCCTGAGTCTGTCAGGGACTGGGCAGAGGAGGAATGATGGAGACCGCCTCCTCATCCTGACCTTTCCAGGGAGGAGGAAGAGGAAACAGTATAGATTTACAACAGGGGTTTGAGGGAGGTCACAGCTTGGAGGCAGATGAGGGGGAAAGTTGGGAAATCATAGGAGAACCAGAACAACACCTGGCTAACACATTGTCATTAGAAAGCATTCCACACCCACCATCCCCCAGAACCTGGCGAGCCTTAAAAGTAGGAGAGCAAAGAGCTCAAAGATGGAGGGGCATGTAGCAGCACCCATAGAAGTGACAAATGAGGAAGTGGGAGAGGTGGGAGGTGGAGATTCACTCAGGACAATGCCATTATCCAAGAGGCTCTCTCTGTAAAGATTGAAATAAAAAAGGACTGTAAGAAACATTTCCTTGTCTTTTTACTTCCTTGGCAACCAGCCGGGAGCCGCTGACAGACTCTGACCAAAGGGGCACATCGGTTTCCAGATGTGAATTTTTCAGCTCTCTCACCCAGCTGTTAACTTTGCAGACACTCCAGGTGCCTCTATTTACCAGGGACATCCCTGATTTAGAGAAGGCATCCCGGTTTCTGATTTGATCCCAGAATGTCCCGCTTTTCCTTGGGATGTCCTTATTTTCATTGAAGAAATGCAGGAGTTATCCAACCCCTGAGCTGTCTGAAGGCAATCCTGTATAGGGAAGTTTTAAAAAAATGTTTAATGTTTTATTATGTTTTTATATATGTTGGAAGCTGCCCAGAGTGGCTGGGGCAACCCAGTAAAATGTGTGGGGTATAAACAGTAAAATAAACATTATGGAATGGGCCATCCCTATTTTCTTCGGAGAGATATTGGAGGGTATGGCTTCATCGATTCCTATGAGACTACATGAGGTACAAAGCCAACTGCTTTGTAAGTGAACAATCAGAGGTTCTTCCATGTTAACTGCTTCCTCATGATGAACTTCTCATTGAGTGCTTGAACTGCATGACTAGACTGTAAAATCAAGCAGCAGTGTTTGGTGATTATATTCTCCGAGTCAATTAATTCTCCCTTGCATATATTGTATGGAATTTTCATTAAGGATGCATGGACGTCTGAAAAGGGTTGAGGTTTTGTGGACGTTTCAAGGCAATGCATGCAGAGCTCAAGAAGCACCCGCTCCATTGGCAATGCCTTCCATGCCCTCTGCTGCCTTTCCAATCCCCAGTGGAGCATCTTTTCACCCCAGGGACTCGATTGGTGCCATATCCCCCCACCATGAATGGTCATGCTTGTGAGCACTCAGGTCGTCTCCCATTATTAGCCTACAGTGGTTGGTGCTACGAGTGGATGCAGGTCTGGTGAAACCAAACTAGAATTCCTCAGGAGGAAATAAGAAAAGACACATGGAAGAAGAAGAAGAGTTTGGATTTGATATCCCGCTTTATCACTACCCGAAGGAGTCTCAAAGCGGCTAACATTCTCCTTTCCCTTCCTCCCCCACAACAAACACTCTGTGAGGTGAGTGAGGCTGAGAGACTTCAAAGAAGTGTGACTAGCCCAAGGTCACCCAGCAGCTGCATGTGGAGGAGCAGGGAAGCGAACCTGGTTCACCAGATTACGAGTCTACCGCTCTTAACCACTACACCACACTGGCACGGAATGGTGACTATGCATGTGCCAACTCTCATAAAGCAGGTGAACTTTCCCCCTAGAGTTCTTTGGAAGCTCATAAATGCCAACCATCTTCCAATATGAAAAAGGGGAGCTCACCCTTCAAAGTTTACTTTTGAAGCAGACGGGTCAGGAAACCATCCAAAAACAGCAGTTCTTTGGTTTGCTCCAAAGATGCTTTCCGCTCTTCCAGAAACCAGGGTTCTAACACTGAATCATAGACTCATAGGGCTGAGAGGAATTCCAAAGGGTCATCTCATCTGACCCCCTGCAATACTAAAGAATCCCCAACAGATGATCACCTGACCTCTGTTCAAAAGCCTCCAATGAAGGCGAGGCCACCAGCTTCCAAGAGAGTCCATTCCACTGTCAAACGACTCTTACCATCAGAAAGTTCTTCCTAATGTTTAGTCACATTCTGTAAGAAGGTAAAGGTAAAGGGACCCCTGACCGTTAGGTCCAGTCATGGCTGACTCTGGGGTTGCAGTGCTCATCTCGCTTTATTGGCCAAGGGAGCCGGCATACAGCTTCCGGGTCATGTGGCCAGCATGACTAAGCTGCTTCTGGCAAACTAGAGCAGCACACGGAAACGCCGTTTACCTTCCTGCCGGAGTGGTACCTATTTATCTACTTGCACTTTGACATGCTTTCGAACTGCTAGGTTGGCCAATAAAGCGAGATGAGCACCGCAACCCCAGAGTCGGTCACGACTGGACCTAATGGTCAGGGGTCCCTTTACCTTTACCTTGTTTTTGCTGATACTGATTTAATTGATCTTTAGTTCCAAATTGACTCCCATTGTTCATTTTTAAGTATTGCTTCTACAGTATATCATTTCCCCGTGTTTTAATCCATCTAGTGTAACTGTATTTGCATTTTAATCCAAGTGTATATTATTGATTCGAAACCTCTGCTGCTACTACAAAGAACAGTAAGGCTTTATCATTTTTTCCATATCAGTTGGGGGTGGGGGAGCAGGTGGACAGCTAAAATGCAACATTTGTTTTACATTTAAGCACTGAAGATATCTTGAAGTTGTTCTTTAAGTTGTCCTCAATTGAATCTTGTGCCAATATGTAGGTTAGTTAATACATGTCGCCAGTGCTTTTTTCTGGGGGGGCACAGGAGTACACATACCCCTAAACATTTTGTGAATCTTTGTACTTTTGTCCATTTACTGTCTTTATTTTTCCCTACTTGAACTATAAAATGGTGATTTTCTTGAGTCAAAATGAGACTACCCCTAAACGTGTTTTTAGGGGGGGGGCACTGCAGGTAGTCAGTTAATATTATATAAACCCTTCAGCTCCAAGTTATAAATTGATTATATTTATCTACATTATCGGTGGGACATTGTCGGTGGGACAGGAGTGAAAGGGGAGCTTTTTGGAGAGAAGTTTTGACCTTTGTAAACACATTTCCACTGTAACTCTAAAGAACACACTACAGTTATCACTTGGCATGTTTGAAAACTTTTGGAAAGCCTTTTGAGCACTTATGACTGCAGCTCCAATTCACTTACATTAATGGGGCCATTAATAGGGTTTTTCAAATTATTTCCCAGATGTTTTATTATAGCTCAGCATTAGTCAGGTCAGTTAATGGACACCAAAGGCTCTAATTTAGCCATGTGGGAGGAGTGGGGACACTTCTCACTTGGGATATTCCCACTCCCATGACATCTTTTTACGTCCATTTTCATGACATTAATCAGGAATATTGATTTACATACTGTTCATTTCCCTAGGGATGCCATTGTAATTCAACATTAGAGGGCTATATAAATGTAAAATAGAAGGATTGCTAATTTACTTAAATAGGGGGTCTCTGAAATATTTTCACTTTGGGAAATTTTACCCACAGCACTTAAATCCAGTTAACACATTAGCTCTCAATGGGGTAGAATCATACAACTGTACAGTTCGAAGGGAACACAAGGGTCATCTAGTCCAGCGGTCAGCAACCTTTTTCAGCTGTGGGCCGGTCCAGCGTCCCTCAGACCATGTGGTGGGCCGGACTATATTTGGGGGGTGGGGAATGAATGAATTCCTATGCCCCACAAATAACCCAGACATGCATTTTTAATAAAAGCACACATTCTACTCATGTAAAAACACCAGGCAGGCCCCACAAAGAGATGCATTTTAAATAAAAGGACACATTCTACTTATGTAAAAACATGCTGATTCCTGGATCGTCCACGAACCAGATTGCGAAGGCGATTGGGCCGCATCTGGCCCCCAGGTCTTAGCTTGCCTACCCCTGATCTAGTCCAACCCCCTGAAATGCAGGAATATTTTGCCCAACGTGGGGTTCGAACCCACAATCCTAAGGTTAAGAGTCTCATTCTCTACCAACTGAGCCATCTCAGCAGATGCCATTGGTAAAGTTTCATTCTCTGGTAAATCAGAAGCAGGGGAAGGGGTTGCTGCCAGCCACCCCAAATTTCCCCTCTTCTCTCTTTCCCTTTCCCTTTCCATTCTCTCCCTCACCAACTCCCCATGCAGCAATAAGGCTTTGAAAACAGCTCCACTAGTTGCATAGTACAGCTTCAGGATAGAGGGATTTAACCCCCCCCCCCCACACGCACACGATAAGGCAATTTGCAGTGGCAAAGAATAGGGTTATGAAGATGATGTATAGATGGTACTTGATCCCTGTAAAATTAGCAAAGATTTATCACAAAAGTGATAATCTTTGTTGGAAATGTAAAGAAAAAGAAGGTACTTTTTCCATATGTGGTGGACTTGTCCCAAGGTGAAAGACTTCTGGGAGAAGATTTATAATGAACTGAAAAAAATGTTGAAATATACATTTATTAAGAAGCCAGAGGCCTTTCTCCTTGGAATAACAGGTTTAGAATTGCCCAAGAAAGATGTTAAATTATTTTTGTATGCCACAACGGCCGCTCGAATATTACTTGCTAAAAATTGGAAAACACAAGAACTACCAACAGTGGAAGATTGGCAGATGAAGATGATGGACTTTTCGGAGCTAGCTGACCTGACTGGACGAATCCGCGACCAGAAAGAAGAGGAGTTTCAAGAGGACTGGAGGAAATTCAAAGACTATTTGAACAAATATTGTAATATAAAAAATTAGAAATTACTTGAAAGAAACAAATAGGCCTAGGACAAATTAAGTTATAATTAAATAAATGGGATTCAGAATGTCAAGAAAAGTGAATAAGATGACTATAATTGGAAATTGTTTTAGTTTAATAATGATATTGGAAAGCTGTTACTTTTAAATTACAAGGAAACTCAGAAGGGAGGGATTTGAGGAAGTCAATCAAGATGTTTAAAAAGTTGGATTTGTGAAGAATTAAGTTTGTTATTATTGTCTATTTATTTATTGTTCCCCCCCTTTTTTCCCCTCCCTTTTTTTCTTTTTTCCCCCTCTTCTTCTCTTTTTCCTTTTCTGTTTTTGTGTATTAATTTGCTTTGTGGTTTGTGTTACAGTGGTACCCCGCAAGACGAACGCCTCGCAAGACGGAAAACCCGCTAGACGAAAGGGTTTTCCGTTTTGGAGGCGCTTCGCAAAACGAATTTCCCTATGGGCTTGCTTCGCAAGACGACAGCCCATAGGGAAATCTCAGGGACAGCGGGGAAGCGCAGCGCGTCTTCCCCACTGTCCTCGGACCTCCTCCGAAGCCTGGCGGCGGGGCGGGGACACCTCCTCCCGCCGCCGCCGGGCTTCGGAAGGCTCCTCCGGCCGGGCGGGGGGAGGGAACACTCAGCCGCCGCCGCCCGGCTTCGGAACGGTGCCCGGCCGGGCGGGGGGAGGGAACACCTGCCGCCGCCGCCCGGCTTCGGAACGGTGCCCGGCCGGGCGGGGGGAGGGAAGACCTCCGCCGCTGCCCGGCTTCGGAACGGTGCTCCGGGCCGGGCGGTGGGAGGGAAGACCTCCGCGCCGCCCGGCTTCGAACGGTGCTCCGGCCGGGCGGGGGAGGGAACACCTGCCGCCGCGCCCGGCTTCGGAACGGTGCCCGGCCGGGCGGGGAGGGAAGACCTCGCCGCCGCCCGGCTTCGGAACGGTGCCCGGCCGGGCGGTGGGAGGGAAGACCTCCGCCGCCGCCCGGCCTCGGAACGGTGCTCCGGCCGGGCGGGGGGAGGGAACACCTCCGCCGCGCCCGGCTTCGGAACGGTGCCCGGCCGGGCGGGGGAGGGAAGACCTCCGCCGCCGCCCGGCTTCGGAACGGTGCCCGGCCGGGCGGGGGGAGGGAAGACCTTCTGAAGGCGGGCGGGGGCGAAAGTCTTTGCTCCCCTGCCTGCCTGTCCCGGAGGGCTTTGAAGGCGGGGGAGCAAGACTCGCCCGCCCGCCTTCAGAAGAGGTCCAGGACCTCTTCTGAAGGCTGGCGGGGGCAAAGTCTTTGTCCCCCTGCCTGCCTTCCCAGGGGCTTTGAACTGCCCCGGACAGCGGAGAAGTCCTCCGCTGTCCCGGGTGATTTTAAATGCCGCCCGCCAGCATTTTAAGATCGCCCGGACAGCGGAGAAGTCCTCCGCTGTCCCGGGTTTTTAAAATGCTGGGGGTGGGAAGAAAAGCCCTTGCTCTCCCCAGCCTTCAGAAGAGGTCCGGGGACAGACTGTCCCCGGACCTGGTCTGAAGGCGGCTTCCTAGGAACGCATCAATTGATTTTCAATGCATTCCTATGGGAAACCGTGCATCGCAAGACGAAAAACTCGCAAGACGAAGAGACTTGCGGAACGAATTAATTTCGTCTTGCGAGGCACCACTGTATTATGGTGGAAAATTTTAATAAAAATTTATTTAAAAAAAAAAAAAAAGAATAGGGTGCTTAACAGCTAAGTTAACCTGCTCTCAGCTGCTTTTCCATAAGAGTTAGGGAACTCCAGCCAGGGAAAGGGTTCTGCAACATTGCTCCCACTTGCCAGTTCTTCATCCCAAATCATTCCCTTATGAAGAACGGTTGAGGAAAGGGTTAATACCTGATTGATGCCAGAACTTTTTTTCTTTCAGGATTAATGGATGCACAATTGGAAAAGGACTATGGAAGATTATTTCAATATGCGATTACAGCACCGAGATTGTTATATGCACAAAGATGGAAAGGTACAGTCCTATTTTCTGTGGATGGTTGATAAAATTATTGGGTTTAGCTGAGATTGCAAAGTTAACGTTTTTAATCAGAGAAAAATCATGATTGATTAAGGATTGGAAATTTCTTATGGACTTTCTGCATGAAAGAGAAAATGAACTTGTAGTATCTGGATTTCATACACATGTAGTGTTCATACACGTTTGAGCCAGGAATCATGGTTGTTGATTGCTACAACACGCTGTAAACATTTCTTAGCAACATAGGTTTGGGGGTTTCTGTTTTTTAGTGCACGGCTGGCCCTAGCATGTGTTCTGCCCTTCCAGAAAGACCAGTGGGAACAGGAGAGTCAGATTTCACAGAGGCACTCGATTCTTGACCTCGAAGAGATTGTTGCAGGAGAAACAGTCAGAGTTGTGTACGACGTAACTGGATCGTGTGCCCATGGCTACTAACAGGTGGGGAAGTGGGAAGGTGAGAAGTTTGGCAGAGGGATGGGGTATGAAGTTTTAAAAGTTGACAAGAACAGCGAAGATATTGTTAATCTTTCAGCCCCTTGCGATGATATGGAAAACTGTTTGTCCTAAGAACGGAAGTGGGGCTGCTTGGAGATTTAGGCTACATGTAACTATATATATAATTTTTATTGATTTTCAAAAAAACAACAACCCCCAACCAATATTGTATAGCAAAAAAACACAGCGTCTACTCTGCATGCTCAAGCCTTTATAGCAAGTTCTCACATATATGCCCATGTCTAGCTGTTGAAAACTCCATTGCGTGTCGAGGTTCCCAAGACACACACACAGACATAACACACACATCACACAGAATTTTTGTTTAAGGTTTTTGGCATAATTTTGGCCACAACTTTATTAACATACATGGATGTGAGTGGTTGCTTAGGCATTGGTTAGGACTATCTGTCCCCCCACCTGGGGACAGAACTGACTTCCGGATTCCAGCGAAAGTCAGTAAGGGGAAACAATATTGGGGAGACACTGGAGCTGCGCCACAGGCCCTCACCTCTCCCCACATGCTCCCAGGGGCTTTGGACAAAAGCATGGCAAGCCCCTGAATTCCTTTAATGGAATTCCCTTGCAGCAGCAGCACTGGAGGGGCAGGCACAGCCAATCCTTACCCCTCCTCCAACCAATTTTGAACCAATACCTAACCGCAACCTTACAAGTTGTGACGATTTGCTACGCAGTAGGCAAAAACCAAATGGCACCAGCCAATCAGCCAGATGGACAAAATTCCTACCAGGCCCCTGCCCCCAAAAGCAGGCGACCCCATGACAGGCACAGCAAGGTCAACGCACAAGACCTAAAATAAGGGAGGGAGGGCGGGTGATCCGGTGCACGCAGTGAAAGAGAAAGCTGAATGCTGCGTGCACTGCTTACAAAACCTCTGTTCCCTCCGCCAAATTAGCAACATCAACATTACCCCAGCAACTCAAACTACCAATCCCTGCCAGAGATCAACCATCCCAACCCGCCTGGCAACAGAGGGGTGGCTTGGCTGGCCCACACCGCAACACATGCTCTCTTTTAATGAGAAGATGCTTTCCAGAAGCTGAAATGCATAACATTACATCTTCCCATATTATCTTATTGCTGTTTTTCATCTTAGGAGAGCCTGCCATGTGTCATTAGAATAGTGCTTTCACGGTGTAAAACCAAACCATCTTATCATTAAAGAACTGGCAAAACTGGCATTTCATGGCTTGTATTTGTTTAGCCAGTGTCTCCAATAAAGGTGTTTATCACTGTGTCCCCATGTCCTTTAGTTGTCCAAAAGTTGGGTTTTCACGGTAGTAATAGAGCCAAAATGCAACATTTGGTGTTTAACCCCTGAAGTTGATCTCTAAACTTTCCTTATTTTAGACTTGTGCCAATTAGTGCTGGTTTCGACATATAAAGCATTAAACAACTCAGAAATGCAACGCAGCAAGGAACACCTTGGCCCATATGACCAACCTAGACCCTGTGATAACCATCAGAGGCCCTTCTTTGTGTGTCCCCTCCGTGTGAAGTTCAGAGGTGGCAACACAAGAGCGGGGCCTTTTCTGTGGTGGCTCCTCACTTGTGGAATGCTCTCCCCAGGAAGACTCACTTGGCACCTTCATTACATAACTTTTGGTGCCAGGCAAAAATGTTTCTCTTTAACCAGGCATTCAGCTGATTGACATTCTATAACTTTTTTAATATGTTTGTGGGAGGGGGGTTGTTCGTTTGTTTTTGTTCTTGTTTTTATTATGTATTTTGAGTTCTCACCTTGTATGTTTATATTGTGAACTGCCCTGTGATCTCC